TTCCCCAAGATTCCCTGCCACACCACATGACACGGAGTTGCCATGACTATACCTAAGTTCCTTCTTTTCTCTCTATGAGCTCTCTATAGTTGTTTTATACTACTGTCCCATATATTTTTTTTTATTAAATACTAAAGAAAATAGTATTACCATTATGTTATTTATCTAGTTGTATTTTCTATTTACTGTAACTCACAGGCATGTCATGAACGTACTGGAACACGAACTTAATATTGACTTATGTAATGTATGCTCAAAAGCGTAAGGACGTAAAGGAGAACCAGTGTGAGGCCCTGAATATGAAAGTGGATGAAACGTAACATATAAATATACACTTTTGACTGTTAACCAACGCAACTGAATGCACCTAATATTAGTTTAACACAACATGACTTTCAATGCATATTACTGAACAGAAGGAACTTACCTTTTCCTCCTAGTACCTGCCACAATACTGTTTTAATACATTCAATTGTGCGGGCATCACATAACCTGTTTATAAAATAACAGTTTAGCGGTACATATTTATATTTGTGTGTGTGTGTATATATATATATATATATATATATATATTGTTATTGGGTAACTGGTTATCTAGCTGTTGGTATTGTATGTGCCATTGACCATGCTGCTGTGTTCGAGAGATAGTCCAATTCGAATAGAAGTGGACTAGCTATATTCCCTTTTGCATGAAGGTGTATTGGACCTAGCAGGAGTGATGGGCAGGGACAGGTCTTTCACCTTCTTGACGTTGAGACATGTTTGAATAACAAAGTAATTAGTGTATACCCTTATAACGTACTGCCGTACTAGCTAATGCCAAGAGGTGAAACAATCAAACTTAGTTGGTGATGGGTGAGGCCCTGCTTGCTGCAAAGCGGCTTGAGAGATTATCTATGCATTGACATGAGGGGATTTCGTGGCCACTGACCGTTGTGGCGGGGTGTCGGCCTCTCAGTGATTTGGGATGGGAGTGACAGGTGAGGCCCTCTCTATGCCACTATGTGAGGTGACTAACTATGAGTTGGGCCAAATGGCGTAGTACCTCCGAGTATGAGGATGGGTGTTGGCCTCGCAGAACCACTAACCTAAGGCATCGAAGGCCTGTGAAATTATTAACTATTGGATTCCTAGTGCCCTTTCAGCCAGTAACAAAGCTTACTAAGGGGAGAAGGGTATGGTGTGTATAAGGACACGTACCTGATGTACCTGAGAAAACTAAGTCAGTCATGCGGTTTTACATAAGAAATGAATAGAAGCAGACCTATAGGGGTTGACGAGATAGTTGCATGAAATGTGGTATGTGACGTAGAATTATAGATATCCTGTATACCTACAGGTTAAGTGGTGCAGATGGTTGCAACCATAAGGAGGAGGTTGCAGTAAATAGCACCTAAAGATGAGATGATGTAACGTATATGTGTCAATTGAAATGGGGCCGGCTTGTGGACTAAATAGTCTGTAATGTACCTATCTAACTAGCGTAGGGGTTGCCCTAATCCTGAGCACCCTGTAAACTGTAAATAGACATAGTATGAGTTATGCCCTGGAAACAATTATCCTATAATCATGACCCATTTTGAAGGAAAAATGGCTATTTGTAACGGAAATTAAAGCAGTAATCCTAAATGATGAAACTAATACTATTATGCAATACGCGAGGCGTATATACGTGGCCCCCATTACATATTATACAAATTGTAATTTCGTCTGAGCCCCTATGTAGCCAAATGACCTGGGACCTACTTGAGGGAAGAAACCACATTCAAGATAAAATGTGGTAATACTATACACTTAAGTAGCATTGAAGAAAGCAGTTAGGGAAGCCACCAGCAGGGGATTTGGATAAGGAGTCTAACCTTAATAAATAATTTCGATTATACCCAAGTCAGAAATTAGATAAAATACTATACTGAACTCTTGATAGTGTCTCATCCCTATTTAAATGTCCAGACCCAGACTTCCCTGCATATAGAAAACAGATACAAGAAAACAGTATTCCTACCTTAGAAGTGGAATAGCAGTAACATTAGAGGTGTAACTGAGTGAAAACTTCATGCAGAAATCATGTTTATTTAAAGGACCACTCTAGGCACCCAGACCACTTCAGCTTAATGAAGTGGTCTGGGTGCCAGGTCCTTCTAGGGTTAACCCATTTTTTTATAAACATAGCAGTTTCAGAGAAACTGCTATGTTTATCAATGGGTTAAGCCTTCCTCCAAATCCTCTAGTGGCTGTCTCATTGACAGCCGCTAGAGGCGCTTGCGTGATTCTCACTGTGAAAATCACAGTGAGAGCACGCAAGCGTCCATAGGAAAGCATTATGAATGCTTTCCTATGCGACTGGCTGAATGCGCACGCAGCTCTTGCCGCGCGTGTGCATTCAGCCGACGGGGCGGATCAGAGGAGGAGAGGAGGCAGAGAGCTCCCCGCCCAGCGCTGGAAAAAGGTAAGTTTTTACCCCTTTCCCTCTTTCAGAGCCGGGCAGGAGGGGGACCCTGAGGGTGGGGGCACCCTCAGGGCACTATAGTGCCAGGAAAACGAGTATGTTTTCCTGGCACTATAGTGGTCCTTTAAGTGAGTCATATAAGGAGAACAATAAGCCATGTTCATGGATAGGGAAATGTAGGCCCCAAACGAATGAGGGGGCCAATACAGGGAGGATAAGTCCTAGCTTGGAGAATATGCACATCATATGAGAAAACAATGTTTCATGACATTCCAGCCTAAACCAGTGGCCTAAACCAGAAAAGTGTTTAGAGGCGTATATGATAATACCATAATTATTACCATAGTTAATTAAACCATACATAGAGTATCATTAGATATATAAACATACATGTGGTTTGGTTATCTATATCCATACTATTATGATAACCAGCTATATTTTAGTTTTTTAAAGTGACATGTTATAATTACTGCAGCAATTGACCTTATATTCTGAATGATGGCTAGAGGTCAGTATTCCGTTTGCAGACTAGTTTTGAAACCCAATGAGCAACTGTAATTATGTTCAGTAACTGTAAATGAAGATTTCCTGCGTCAGAAATTTTCCTTTATGTCATGCCATGGACTTCTAATTTATTTGAAACTCTCTGTATTTCTCCTTGTCCCCTAACCAGCTGGTGAGGAGCCCCAAATGAATGAGACAAGACAATGCCAGGTTGAAAGTGACGTCTCCTCATTTAATGAGCTGTGTAACAGTTTAGAGGAAACAGGGGTGGTCTTACAAGCATTATCCAATCCTAACAAAATCATCTATCTTATCTTAACATCCTAACCTATAGCAAGCTTGCAGGTGTATCTTCATGTTTGGACCTTGCACAAAGCTAAGCTATAACTACACACGTCAAACTAATATGCATGCACACTACGCATTAAAGATATTTACTCTTAAGTTCTAAATAACACATTACTATGCAGTTATGATATATTTTATTTATTATTTGGGCATATAATATATTATATTATGTTTATATTATATTTATTTATATATACTGTTCATATTTCCGACAGTTGGATACACCTTTCATATCATATTATAAGCACTTATACTTCCTCTGTTGGATTTATTAGTATTTGTCTGCCATTGTAGCTTATATCTATACAAGTAATTATCTACTTATTCCTCCATTGATGCACCATGGTGCAGGTTTTACTTTTTACCTTTTACTTCTATGCCTAGTTTTGGGGCTTTTTTCGTATTTCTTAACACAATCTCATTTGGTATGTGGTAACTTAGCAACCACGTTTGTTTCCTGCGGTACGTCATGACGTGATGACAACACATGCAACCTCCCGTCACTTTCGGGTCAGAATCAGTCTGAAGGTGGTGGGAGTCCACTTGGTTTTTTACTCATCTCATTGGTAAGTGTTTTATTCCTTTATGTATATATTGTCACTATAATATACACTCTGTGATCTTGAAAAAGATTGGACTTACCCAATTCTGAATACCCTGGGTTGTCTACTTTTGTGAATGGTATGCCATGATGGGGGTAATTCTCATTCCTTGGCTGCCATATGGTCTTAAAGGCAACATAGGCTCAGAAAACCAATCTGTCCATGTAACTTTCCAAAACCTCTCAAAACCTGTACATTGGGGGTCCTGTTTTACCCATGAGGAATCTCTGAACATAAATATGAGTGTTACAGCAGTAAACCTTATATTGACAATGATATCATCAGTGAAAGTGCCGTTTTTTTGTGAAAAACGCAAAAAAATAATTATGAATGCTAACTTTGGCCAGTGTTTGTGACTAGGTGGCTGCTAAAAAAAACCTGGAGTTCTTGGATGAGGCGAGTTTAAAAGATCAACCAAACGGGGGGTGTGGCCAACTGCCAAGCAGCCTGGACGTATAGGAAACTGCTCCGGCACCCTTGGCTCTCAATATCTATAACCATCCACAAAGACAAGAAATTCACCCCAAAAAATGAAAAAATCTACTTTTTCAACCAAAAATCGGCAACAGGCTCTGTGGCAGAACTGGCCCAAATCCAAGATGGCAACGACGATCAGGACACGGGAACGCTCCAAACAAACGAAAATCCTCACGGGCTCCAGGGGGACTCACCAAAGAAAACCTAAATGAAGCCCTAGAAGCGATGTCAGACAAATTGGTGAAAACCTGGCAGACATCTATTGAACAACTCAGAAAAAAGGTGCTGGATATCGGCAATAGGATGGCACACGTTGAAAACAAACTAAGTGAATATGCCACAGCACACAATGATATAGCCGACCATGTAGCAGCCTTGGAACAAAAGGTGACACTAATAGAGACATGCATGGCTGATGCAGAGGACAGATCACGGAGGAATAACCTTCAATTAAGAGGTATTTCTGAAATAGTCCTCCCCTGCGACCTACAAGCGTATGTCAGAGGCATGATGAGAGCATATGTTCCTGAAATACCAGCAGACATGATGCTAGTAGATAGAGTTCATAGAGTTCGGGACTCTATGAACTCTATCTACTAGCACCTACCCGATACAGCCCCATGAGACGTCTTAATGAGAGTGCATTACTTCCACATCAAAGAGGCAGTGCTCTGTGCCAGCAGAAATCGAGCAGAATCGCACAAAGACTACCATCAGTGAAAATCATGGCAGACCTATCGGCAGCTACCCTCAAGCTGAGGAAAGAATTCCAAGAGATCACGGAGGAGCTGAGAAATAAAGGGATCCGGTACCGATGGGGATACCCCACCAAATTGCTGATCACCAAAAATGGCGGACTAAAAATTATACACACACCAGAAGACGGACTCAAGCAACTCAGAGAATGGGGCCTACTAACAGGGTTCCCGAAGAAAGCAGGCCCAGCAGAGCGCCTAATACCTGAATGGCGCCAACTATCCAACAAATCTACATAAACAACCACACTCTGGATACGTGAGATATGGATTTATATGTTATATGTGCTAATGTTGCAAATGTTTCTTTAGTATTTTGCTTTATATGTTTATCTATGGGAAAACTAATGACAGTATTAATAACGCCTATGGAAAGGCAAATATGGGGGAGGCAGCACCGGCGGGGCAGGGTATACATGCAAGCCAACAGGGGACGGACTGGAAAAAATCTCAAATGGTCTGCGGGAATATGGGCTTGCAAAAGACCATATGCTAACTACCACTTAGATTTGGCTTACTGAAAGCTCTGATTTTGCTTACTGAAATAACAAGGTAATCACTGTAGCCGCTTTCCCTAAATCTTAGAGGGTATTATGCAAAAAAAAAAAAGGAATACCCCACACCTGAACCCTCCCAACAACCATGACAAATTCTGTAACATTCTTAAAAGCCCACCGACACCGCACAGGGGAAGTATTGAATGACCAAGGGTTAAAGCATATTCAGGTCTCCCCCAGGTGAACAGATATGCCGTGATTTCCCACAATAGAGATACCAAACAAATACAGAGAGGTACAGATGCTTTACTTAACCAAGCAAGTGCAGATAAGCAGCAAACCCATACTCCAGGGACATAAGCGAGCTGAAACCCTATTGTCATAGTACCAGATTGCCAAAACCATCGCCACACTGGGATAACCCTTAAACCATCCACCCCACCAAAACAAGTAGAAATATCCCATTAAGGGCTAGCATCATGCCAAATCGCAGACCATAGGAGGCTAACATAAGACTCCACGTCAGCCTGAAGAATGAGGTCAACAAGAACAACCCCAAAAATCGACCAAAGATGTAACCCCCAGCCACGTCAGCCTGAAGAATGAGGTCAACAAGAACAACCCCAAAAATCGACCAAAGATGTAACCCCCAGCCAGGGCTGCTACCCCAGTGCATAAAAGCACCACAAGGTTAAAGTTCTGAACCCTTAGACTCCATAAACATGAGAGCCCGATGGCCACAAAACCAGAGGCGTCACCCGACGTTCACCCCCATGGCACAATGCCATAGTGCCAAGACCCCGGTTTGGGTCATTTTGTATATAAGTTGGTTCTTTAACTCCCCCTTTTCTCTTCCCTCCAAGTCCGAAAAGCCACACTTCCCAATCTACCACCAAGCACAATCAAGGCCACCAGGGCCATCACGCCAAAAAAACATAGACACACAGAACTCACATACGAGCTCTCTTTACTACAAACCCATAATATGAAAATATACTCACATAACGCTAGAGGACTAAACACCCCACACAAGAGGCGCATGGTCCTAACAGAAGCCAAACAAATTAAAGCAGACATTGTGTGCCTACAAGAGACACACTTTGTAACTGCTAGAGTACCGAATTTTGGCTTACGAGATTATCCCCACCAATACCACGCAACACACTCCTCAAAATCAAGAGGGGTCTCCATCCTCCTACACTCCTCTCTCACAGTGGAGTTTCTCCACATTAAAAAAGACAACCAGGGAAGATACGTGATGCTCCAGTGTTTAATAAATAACTCCAATTTTACCATAGTTAGTTTCTACAGCCCAAACACAAACCAAATAAATTTTCTCCACAGAGTATTATCCACAACTCCTATCATACATACAACATCAATAGTACTCTGCGGGGACCTAAATCACCCGCTAGACCCACTTTTGGATACCACATTAAACCCCGCAGCACCTAGACACAAAGTGATAAAATCAAAAGTAAACCTTTAAACAAACTATTAGGAGAATTTGGGATGTATGACTCCTGGAGACTAGGCCACCCTGGAGACAAAAAGTTTTCCTTTTACTCAGCAGTCCACAAATCATACTCGAGGATAGACTTTATATTCATATCAGGCCCACTAGTATTACAAGTAACAAAAAGCGATATAGGGGACATAACATGGTCAGACCATGACCCGACAATGATAGAACTTAAAGGAAACTTCCAACATAGAGGCAAAACACCATGGCGCCTAAATTACTCCCTACTGCAGAATAATACTTTTGCCCAAAAAATGACAAACACACTTCGTGACTACTTTGCGACAAACAGTACACCAGACATACAACCACAGTGTGGCAGGCCCCTAAAGCAGTCATGCAAGGCCACATGATTAGCCATGCATCCTATCTAAATAAAAAATCTAAAGAAGAACATCGAAACTTATTACGCACACTGAGAGATGCAACTAATGCGAAGGCAGCACAACCCACCCCACAGAGAACGCAAACAATCACGGACACTACAACACGTCTAAATAATCTAGAGCTAGCTAAGACCGCATACATCCTACAAAATCTACAGAACAAAGCAGGGAAATATTTAGCAACACAACTCAGGCAAAAACAATCTAATGCCAAGATCCCGTACTTACTTACACAAGGAGATGAGAAAATACACAACCCACAGGACATAAACGGCAACTTGGCAACATACTACCATACATTATACAACTCAAGGATGATACGACACTACATCAACCCACCAACCTAGAAATTGAGGATTTCCTTGTTCTTTCTAAGTTACCAACACTGACAGACATACAGCGATTACAACTACAAAACCCACTCACAGCAAATGAGATCCTGCTCGCCATAAATTCTTTACCATCCAGAAAATCACCAGGACCGGACGGCTTTACAAACGCATACTACAAAAAGTTTGCTGCCACTCTGTCCCCACACTTAGAGAAAGTATTTAACCATATCATACAAACAGGCCATATTTCACCAGAAATGCTAATGGCACACGTAGCCACCCTGCCAAAACCGGGCAAACTCCCAAATAAGTGCCAAAATCTGAGGCCAATATCACTCCTGAACACTGACATCAAATTACTAGCAAAAATGTTCGCAACTAGATTAACACCCTTCATACCTACGATAATACATGATGATCAAGTATGATTTGTCAGTGGTAGACAGGGAGCGGATGGCATGCAAAAGATCCTAAACCTACTAGAGGGGGGGCGCGGGAGGGGGGGCAAGTGTTTGCTGCTCTCATTGGACGCTGAAAAAGCTTTTGACAGGCTGCACTGGCCCTTCCTCCGTGCAGTCCTACACAAATTCGGGTTCCCCGACACAGTTATGCGGCTGGTGGAAGCATTATACTATATACCGACAGCCAGAGTGACCAACGGGGGCTTTACCTCCCAAAAATTCGACATCACAAACAGTACAAGGCAAGGATGCCCCATTTCACCTATTCTCTACATCCTGTCACTAGAACCACTTATACTACTTAAAAGGGACCACCCCAACATCCACGGCATAAAAAGAAAAAACAAAGAATACAAAATCACCTTATTCGCGGACGACATACTTCTCACACTAGGAACACCTCACATCTCACTGCCAAATTTCCATGACACCCTAGCATGTTATAGCAAATGTTCCCACTATAAGCTCAACGTCGCCAAAACACAAACTCTGGGGATAAACATCCCCACAGCAACACTGGACAATCTACGAAATTCCTTTAACTATGACTGGAGAAAAGACCACCTAAAATTCCTAGGGATCAATATAACCCCCTCACTATCAAACCTATATAAGACAAACTACCAAAACACCCTAAGGGAAATCCAAAACATACTAACAGGATGGAGAGGTAAACACATATCATGGTTGGGCAGAATGGCTGCTATAAAAATGAAATTCTACCGAAGCTACAATACCTCTTTAGAACACTCCCCATAAAATTACCAAGACACCAAGACACAAGAAGCGCAACAAGTCATAATGTCGTTCATATGGGACAGCAAGAATATCCAAAAATATTCTATATCTGCCACGAACACGGGGAGGGATGGGGGTAACAAACGTACACAACTACTACCAAGCAGCAATGCTCAGCTCACTCCTGGCAGAAAGCCACAGAGACAGCGCAACCCAATGGTCGGACATAGAGGCACACCACGCCAATGGAATCCCCATCTCTGTCTTAGCATGGCTCCCACGCCAATACAGACCCCCGCATAAAGTTCCTCTCCCAACAACAATACTCACCCTACACATGTGGGACCAGTATTGCCACAAAATGAACTGGAAAGGTAAAATCTCCCCTGCCACCCCAATAAAAGCTCTCCACCATATAATACCAAATTTTAACCACGTAATTTGGCAACGCCATGGCATCACATACCTACACCAAATGCTTCAGGGTCAAGACCTTAAAAAAGCATTCCACCTTAACTCCCCAGCTCTATTCTGATATAGGCAAATCCAGTCATGGCTTAAAAAACAAACCATTACCTACAAAGATGATGTCCAGGGACAACAGCTGACAGTGGTAGAAATCTGTGCACGCCTCTCTCCCCCTAAAAAAACTACTCTCTACAATTTACCAAATGCTATAGACTCCTGAAACCCATGCACTATTCCCATTCATTACTGCCTGGGAGAAAGAGTTCACATATACCCTAAGCCCAGAACAATGGAAAGACATATTACTAGCACATGGCCCTCTCTCAAAATGTGCCTCCCATATGGAGCTCTCCCGCAAAATCTTATACAGGTGGTACATAGTCCCTACGCGGATTAAAGCAGCACACCTACAGGTCACAGACACATGCTGGAGATGCCAACAACACAAGGGAACAATGCTCCACACCTGGTGGTCGTGTCCTGATCTCACCACCTTCTGGGACGACATAATAAAACTCATATACCTAAGTGCACAAATAAGATTAGAACGCAAACCAGAAATTTTCCTTCTCCAGCTATTCCCCAAAAACCTAAAGAAACCACAGAAAAACTTAATATACTGCAGCATTAACAGTGATCATCAGACACTGGCGATCGGCCTCTCTACCAAAGATCCACCAGTGTATACAACTAATAGAAACCACCAAACAATATGAGCTGGCAGCCAGGCACATAAATTCACCAAAAACAAATTGGACAGAGGCATGGGACGGCTGGAGCAGCTACTTAAAGAACTCCAAAGTACCCACTTAGGGAACCATATTCTGGACTCCACC